ATATTCATTTAATGTGTATTACATTTTTAATATATTAAATAATATATAACTATATGTATTACATTCTACATATGTATAGTAAATGATATGTAATCATATTGTATAAGTTATTATTATATTAGACTATATTATGTTGCTATGTAGTATATGTTATATTTATGTTATATTTAATACTTATATTTGTTTACCTGTTTTTTTTCTGTTTTCTCCCACCATTGTGTAAACTCCACCAGATTTGGGGCTTTATCTTTCTAGTTCATCCCTGTATCTGAACTCTAGTATGTAGAAGGAGTAACGCCAAGCACACAGTACACAACCAGAAATTATTTGGTAAATTAATGTATGAATGAATGAAGCTTACCTGCCACATCTGTAAAATGTAGCTAATAATATCTTACTTCCCTGAAAGTAGGAGTATTAACCAGATAATCTTTTAGGTTCCCTTCAAGTTCTAAAATATCTATGATTTTTAGGTTCCCTTCAAGTTCTAAAATATCTATGATTTTTTCAACTCTTTTTATTACTATCATATCTAGTTTTATATTATGAAGCAGAATGTTTTCTTCTTTTGTAGGTGAACTGCAGAGGAAGATTGGCTTGAAAGTACTTGAAATGAGAGGAAATGCTGTCGTCGGATACTTACAGTGTTTTGATCTGGAAGGCGAATCTGGGTTAGTGGTGCGAGCCATAGGAACAGCGTGTACTCTGGATAAATTAAGCAGCCCAGCAGCATTCCTTCCTACGTGTAATTCTCCATCCAAAGAAATGAAGGAGTAAGTATGAATTAGTGAATTGTTTTTATGGACCTTTTTATCTTTTACCTATATATTTTCATTTGATTTGAAACATTTTAGCAGTGTTTTTCAACATACCATTTTTTGCTATGGTGATTTTTCTTATTAGAGATGACTGTCAACATTTGACACTTAAACCTGTTTAGATATTCCTCATATTTATAGTCTTAATAAGAAATTTAAATTAAGTAATGTAAAATTAAACTTATTCCAGATCTTTAGACACTGTATATCTAAAGCATAAAATGAATATTTATGTGTTGTGTGGAATTTTACTTATTCTTTTGAGAATGCTTAAAAGTTAAGACCAGGGTATCTCCTTTTTCTGCTACCCTTCAGCTTATCTACACTGCCTGATGATTCAATTATGCTTATTATTAGCGACATATTATAGAAAGCAGGAGAGGTTGACTTGTGCATGAGTCTCAAACTCTAATGTCTACAGAGGCCAAGCAGTTTATATAAATAAAACAATTGGGTATAATTAAATAGGTAATACTGGGGACTGTGTAAAGCAGGTGTTGGCAAAATTTTTCTGTAAAAGGCCAGATAGTAAATATTTTAGGCCCTGGCCACATAGTTTTATCTTCATTTTCCAGAAAAAGGAGTTTGCTGATCTTGCTCTAAAGGAATTTAGACTCATATATATTCGAAAAAACTGTGTGTGATCCAACAAAAATTTCTCTTGGCCGGATTGGGCCTATGTGTGTTATCATTCTAAATTGGTGGTGCTGTCATATGATTGGGGTAAGGGGGACAATCCTGTTGGGTACTAGAAATGCTGACTATTCTACACAGCAAAGGACAACTCCATCCTAAATGCCAATAGTACTTCCATTGAGAACCTCTGATATAGAGATTCTTCTAGATCAAGGGTCAACAAACTTTTTACGTAAATGATTAGAAGGTACAGGTAAATAATTTAGTCTTTGCTAACAGCATCTACTCAACTCTGCTGTTGTGTGAAAGCAGTCATCACCAATATACAAATTAATGAGTTTGGCTGTGTTCCAGTAAAACTTATTTCCTTACAAAACAGATGGCAGGATGGATTTGGCTTGTAATATGTAGTTTGCTGATTCCTCTCCCGTATCATCAGGGAGTCAGAATTCTGTAGTCAGAAAACCTGAAATGTTTTCTAGTTTAGCAGTAGTCTAGAGAGGTTGACTAAAAAACAAATTTTTTTTTAAACGACATTTTTTAAAATGAGATTTTCCCGTTTATCTTAAGCTTATTCTTTTTGTTTAATTATTTCCTTTCTTATGGCATTTAGTTATTTGGATTAAATTTTAGTCACAAGAAGGAGAGCACATATATTACCTAATTTTATTTGGAAATAGGTTACAAGTATAATAACTTTTAAATAAATTGGAAGAGTAAATTTGCTTTATGTTCCATTTAAAATCTGTCTTAAAAAGATATAAACTGCCTGCTGCTGCAGGTAAAGTCAGATTGCAGGGGTAACTTTTTGAGAGATTCAATTTTTTTTTCTCTTTCCATAGTAAAGTTAAGTAAAGACCAGAGTCTCTCCTTCTCCTGCTACTCTCCAGCTTATCTACACTGCCTGAAGCAGTCTGGTTTTTGCAGCTGTGATGCGTAAAGTTTTCCTCTTTTCACTAAATTTACTAGTGGAATGAGAAAGCTATATTACCTTGTTAGTGCCTTAGAATGATATGTGAGTCAAGAATAAGTCTTGTCCGCATCCAAGAAGTATTTCAGTAATGTAAATTTTCTAGGATTGTGTAAGTTTTCTCCTTTTCTAATTTTGTTGTGGCTGTTTGCTTTAAATTGTCAAATACTCATACCATGAAGAATTTAAGTTATTTCATTAAGATTTTCTGAAAGGCATGTTACTACCTACATCATGATAACTTAAAAAAAAAAAACCAATAAGATACCTCAATACTCAGGCTGCTTTATTTCAACTAGCTTCTTTGTATTGTTGATAATGAGTCCATTTGAGTGCTAGTTTAAAATTGTTTTATGATTCAGTTGATTCTAATTATTCTAATATTATAACATTATGGATTCTAGACAGAAATTGTATAAAAGGTAGTTCGGAATATATTTCTGTCTGAATGGATTTAGTACTAGAAATACCACTATGGTATCACTTACTGTACAGCAGCCTTTCATGTAAGGAAACGGATAAGAATTAGAACTCCACAAATACATTAGGGGATGCCCCAGTGTATTTGGATTTTAATGCGATGTCATAATTTGAACATTTTACAATGTTTATTTTATTTTATTCATTTTATTTTATTAATAGTGTGTTCTCCTACAGTTGTTTTTTTTCCTTTTAGATGTTCAGTGTAATGCACAATATAAATCTCTTTGGTGTTTCCTAGCTGAACTATTTTGATGGTAGAAAGTGCATTTAAATATGATTTATTGCTTCTCTACTTTAGAAAAAAAGTACTTTCTAAAAGACGAGCTATAATTTCTCCTCTGTATGGCACTGATTTTAAGGCTTTTTATCTTCGTTAGTTACATCAACAGAGAAAGAAAAAACATAAAACCACTCAGTTGTTTGTATGCAAATAAGTCACCAGTGAGATGTTTGATTTTTAATAGTTATATTAAACACATTTTTAAATTAGCAACAAAAGTAGGAACATTTATTCTATTGTAAAATCAGTGATTTTTCAGAAAATAGTCTGTAGACCCTATGAAAGACTATGATTGCCAATTAATGATAGCTCATGTTTGAAACTTGACAAATTGTGATTGTTAAGAATGTTCCTTGGGCAATGGAAAAGAACAAAAGGCCAGGAAAAGTTGGCTTCTTGGCTTGCTCTTAATTTGAATTCTTAAAAAATGGGGATATGATAGTTTTTCAGTATATTCGTGTTTGATTCTTCTCACCTCATTGTGCATAAGGGAAAGCATTGCACAGTGAAATAATTGCTAATTTGAAGTCTAGAATTCTTATATAATAAACCTGTTTTCCCCATTCAATGTAACTGTCCTCTTAGCCTAATTTCTTTGTGAAAAATTTAAATGTTATATATGAATATATATCTGTATCTGATCTAAATGTATCTATACTTGTGCAGATGTGGTCCAATGCAGGATATAAGTTGATATCTTAGAAAATTTCAATTCAGAGGGTAGTTTAAATAAATTCTGTTTAACTTTAAATAATATATTATTCTTTTTGAGAGCTAGTCAAAAATCATTTACATTGCTTTATTAACGTGTTTTTTTTAAAAAAACAGTTTTCTTGTTTTCCCAGTGTAACCTGGTTTTAAGCTATATACTTGGTATGTTAAAATATGGAATGTTTATATCTGCTTATATCCATTCAGTTCACTCATTTCTGTTTATGTTGTCATTTTTTATATCCTTAAGTACCCCTATCTTGAGATTCTAGACACAGTTTTGTTAAACTTTCTTCATAGAAAAAATAATTATATCAGCAATTATTCATATGTCAGTTTCAAGGTAATATAAGAACTTTATATTTGACTTTTCACTTTTATAGGTGTTTTCTCCCTAAAATATTGTGTAGTAACTTCTATAGTGATCAAAATAATAACGAACATTTTAAAGAAACTTAAAATCTAAATCTTAGTCTTTTTAAAAATTTAATTCCACTGACAATTCTGCTTGCTATTTTTTTACTCAGTCCTAATTTATTAATCTGATCTTTTATAACTATATCCTAAAGAATGAATATTTAGTTTTTTAAAAAAAATTTCAATTTGATTTTTTGCATGCTAGGGATTAAAAAAACAATTCCTCTCCTCTAACTAAAGCTCCTTTGAAATTATTTTAACATAACTTTGCTATCTGTCGAATGTATTGTTTTCTTTTCTTCCACTTTGACCACAAATTCCCTCAGGTCTCCGCTGGTTCATCCTCCAAGCCACGGATGCCGCTCGACCCACAACAGCCCCATTCACACTGCTACTGGCTCACGACTTACTCAGAACTTCTCTGTGTCTGTTCCCACTCTCATCTATACTGGTACGAGACTGCTCAGACTCCGGAGCTGGGGAAGGCAGGCCACGGGCAGAGTGGCTGCAGAGGGCAGGCAGGCAGGTAGCATAGGCAGGTACCACAAGTCTTGGCTTCCTCCTTTTCTCACTTGAAGTCCAGCTGCAGTGAAAAAATCTTATATTTAGCCAACAGAGTGTCTAACTACATGGAAGTTAAAGTGTTCTTCCAGCTTCCAAAGTCTCTTCCATAGATCTTCTAAGGACCCTATCTTGTATAGGTATACTCTGTGTTTTTAGGAGAATCCTCCAGTATGTATTTTTGCCATTATAACTACATATGGTTAGAAATAAAATTGAAGATTGGATTCTAATAGCTGCCAAAGTTTCTGATTTGCTCATTTTCTTGGTGTACAAAACTTGTTATAGTAGGATCTGTTTCATTCTGTGGAAGAGAGCTGTTGGAAAACAGGTAAGCCATTATTCTGCGTAAAATGCAATGTTTCTGTGTAGCTATATTCATTTCCCTCTCTGCTGTGTTTTTAGCTGTGGCACTCTTGATGCTATAGGATAAGGAAACATTTTTCTTTTGAAGATATTTGTGTGTGTGTGCAAATATAAAAACAGCTGTGAATATTTACACACACAATTTGCAGTCATCATTTTTTCATTTGTAACCTAAAAAAAAGCATCGTTTATTTGAAAGTATTTTCAGTCATGTATTTATTCTTTTTGTTTACTTCTTTTAATATTTTTTACTCCTTTAGTCTGTCATTTCATTCTTTTTTGCTTTTTTTACTTGGCTTCTTAACTGTTTCAATGCAGATAATTATTTATCTGAAGAATGATGAATGGTTAAACAGCAATTGGTTGTCTTTGGCCTCATACCCAGCTCCACACTTAAGAAATGACTGTTGGCCCTGCCCCAATACTTTCCGGGTGTTTGGATCATGCTGCCTTCATCAAGTCCTCTGGCACATGATTACTTAATATTTCTCCACCTTCTTCTGGCAGGATTCCCTTCAATGAAGAGCCCAACCCCAATACTCACTCATCAGGACCCTCAACCCCTCTGAAAAACCAAACTTATTCCTTTTCACCTTCCAAGTCCTACAGTCGACAGTCCTCTTCTTCTGACACAGATTTGAGTTTGACACCCAAAACTGGTAAGGCGCTTCCACCCACCTTTTCTTTATTCTTTTTTTTTTTTCAAATTTGTTTCTGTTTCATATTAGCTTTCCATCCAAGCCTTTTTTCCTGTTTTTGGCATTTAAGTTAAAAGATAATGTGAATACTAATTATTTTCAGTTGCTACAATTAAAATATGAAAATTTTGTGTAGTTCAAAAATTATCGTGTTCAGAGATCTACATTTTGTCGATTTAATCATAGTGTAGATGTGAAGTCCAAGATTTTTTTGTATGTAGATACTTTTCATGCTCAAATTAAGAGGAATAACATTTTAAAACATTTGAATACAAAGTAAGACTAGTAGCTTGCAGTCCTCATGCAGTGTAAGCATTTTGAATTAATTGTTTCTATGTCCGAATTCTAAGATTTTATTATGAAAGAAATATTAAGAACAAGTAGAATGGTTATATTGGAGTATATATAACTATCTATTAAGTTCTTGTTATTTAAAATGTTTGGTTTTGCTAGTCTTACTCTCTAGATTAGAAAATAGCAGTTTTGCTTTACTTATTCTTATGTATTTTTCAATGTATGGAATTTATAATTTTTCCTTGTGTATTTTGATAATCTTTGAGTTTTTATGAATGTTTTATGACAAAAATTGATAAAAAATTAAACTAATTCCTTGCTCCATAAAATAGAATTAACTTATTAATCATGAAATTAATATTCTCAAGAAAAATAAACAGTAAACAAAGCATTTAAAAGTTAATAGTTTGTAATTTTTGTAAATAGTATTTTTGTCTGGCAGTTTTTTTGCCAGATTGGTGAAAACATTTTGCATAGTTCTTATTTTAAATTTATCTTTAATAACTTTATTTTTATGTTAGACAAGAAATTTATAAAATGACCTCAGATTTTACAAAGGCAATGAAAAGAAGTCTAATTCTAGAAGCACTGCTACTTTCAAAGTAAAGATAGAACATTAAAAACATAAGCCTGGAAATTTAATATCTATTTTAATGTCATAATATGTAAAGATAATCCGAATACCTAATTATTTAAAAAGAACACCTTTATTTTTACATATATGTAATAACAACATCTAAAAATAAATGATATTTGATGACAATGCCTGCATTGGCATGTGGCATCTTAACCGTAGTCACGTCATAAAGTGGAACCATTCAAATTTTAGTGGGTTTTCATTTCTTTTTTTTTTAATAAAGAATGAGATTCTGGCCTTGAATTTATGACAATCAAAACAAGGAAGACTTAATGTAGTATTTGAAGAATAAGTTTTCTTAAAAATATTTTTGAAGCTCTGCCCATTGGCTGTTTATTTGTATATTCCAGGCCACTTTCATATATTCTTATCTTTACTTTTCTTTGCCAAACCACAGATACATTTTTGAAAGTATTTCTTTGGTCTTTCTATTTCTTTTTTAAAAATTCATCATAAAGGCCAAGCCTAAAGAAGATTGTCAAGTAATAAATTAACTGAAGCTCTTCTCTTAGCTTTCTAGTAAGCAGTCAGTTGTACTATCAAGTGAAAATTGTTTTGCATTTTGTTTCCTAGCTCTGCATATTTAGTTTTTAAAAATTCATTTATGAGGTTATTATTCCATGTATTTCTATATTTATAAGCTACCTCCAAATAAATAATTTTCTTTTGCCTATAATTATTTGCAACCTCAATAGCATATTTGTAGGATATTAGTCATTTTTAGGCCTTTGGCTTTATCATGAGTCCCTGAAAATTTTCAAATACTCCAAAGGAGCATTCCCATTTCTTGTGGAGATTTAAAATGACAAAATTATGATTGTTCTAAAATTTCTGAAACTAATTCAGCATGTATTTCATGACTCTCTGCCTTCCGTTTTACCTATACAAAAAAATCAGTCTCTTGAGAAATGGAATAGATAAGCTGATTATGATTGATTTATTATATGTAAACTGGGGAGCCAAAAATAAAGTTAATAAACCTTAGATTGAGGAAGTTGTTTTTTCCATTGGTAGTTAAAGCTATCACCTGTTTTTCAGATAGGTCTTGTTTTTAAAAAATGCAGTCTGTGGCCATGCTACCCTGAACAAGCCCAATCCCGTCTGATCTCAGAAGCTAAGCAGAGTCGGGTCTAGTTAGTACTTGGATGAGAAACCACCTAGGAAGACCAGGTGCTATAGACGTAAAAAATAAAAAATAAGGGATTGTAAGCTGACAAGGTCCTTGCAATCTGTGAGGTCAACCAAGGGTTGCCTTGCTTAAAAAAAAATTTTCGCATTGATTTATTTCTAATAAATTCTATTTTTTGACATTTTACAGGGTTTTTTTCCCTCCATATTTTTTCCCAAGTGCTCAACTAGTCACAGCAGAATTTTAGAATGCTATTAATAGGATATTGATTTGACACCTAACTCAAGCTAATTTTTACTAAAAAGTCAGGATTTTAACCATGTATAGTTTTTGAGATCCAGAGGTTATTTGGCTCTTATGTACTCAGATCTTTGTAAATGCAAGCAGTACTATGGTCAGATTTGAACAGATAAAATTTTAGAGGGAAAAGTATTAACATACATCTTGAAATTAGAAAGAAGTTAATATTTTATTTAAAATTAATAATGGCAACTGCTTAAAGTGGTACTGTTTGATTTTTGTGTGTGTGTGAGTATTCAGTTTAAATACTCATAAGGGATACATTTTAGGAACATTCGAAGAACTGTGCTTTACCACTTTAAATAAGTGTTTACATTTGAGGCAATAAGTTTACAAATTTACAAATTTGAAAGATGTGATATGTTTTAACCTTACACATTCTTAACAAAAAAGGGCAGGCAATTTAAGTGTTTTTAAGAAATCAACTAAAAGTGATTAGAATGGCGTAAAATCTTATATTAGTGGTTTAAAAATTTTTAATAAATGTAAAGTTTGTAAAGGTTTTGTTAAGGTTTAGACTATGCCTTTTATTTATATTACCTTGGATAGATGGTCTTGCTAATGACTTTATATGCTTAGTGTAATTTGTGTATGCATTTTAAAATTCATTTTTACTGTTATGTTTTGCTTCATCATTGCTTTCCTTATCCTGCATTTTCTGATCATCTTCTGAATCTGCATCTTTTCTCTGCTACTTTCCTCCACAGCACCTTACCCACAGGGGCCTAGGATTTACCTGTGTCCCAGCTCCCCCTTTCTCTCTTGTGGGTCCCTTCATCTTAAAAAGTCCTGTCTCCTCCTCTCGGAATCTAGCCTTCCCCCTCATCATTCTAGCCTTGTCAGCCCAGTTCTGAGGAAAAGTGTTTCTTTCAGTGAAGAGCTGTTCCTGGCTGCTTCTGGTAGGATCACATTATGTCAGCTTTTAATCCCTTTATTTTGAATCATCTTTGAAAAAAATTATTTTATACTACAAAGAAGTAGTGGGTATTTTTACACAGGATGTACTTCTTATTTTTCTTATTGGCAGACAGATTTAAATGATTGGAACTATCATGAGGACATGATTGAGGATTACTTGATGGATAATTATGAATATTCTGCTAAAATTATTTTATATGTTAAAAAAGTTTTATGACTAAGGACATAGATATGCATGTTTCCAAAATTATTAGGTTGTCATTACACGAGTTTGTGTTGTAGATGCTTTACTTTCTTTCCCTTTACACCAACTCTATTCACATTGGACCTGTACCATCATGTTGCTAAACCATATGGTTACATTAATAAATTATTCTGTTTGAATCAGTTTAAGTCTCATTTTGGTAATATTCTTTCATTATTTTTTTCTGTCCATTGCTTTAATTTTCAAATTATTCTGCTGTATTTTCTGATATTTCATTTATCTCTATAAAATTACATTTTATTTTATGGCTTTCAGTATGCTTCATATAAAGATCTTAGTTTCATTTATATGTTTAGTATTGTATAGTCTCAAAATCATGTTTAGGTTACTGCAAGAAAAGTATATTTCCTTTTTTATTTTTTAAATAACAGAATGGGACTATACATATGCTAATCTTGTTTCCTTATCCAAGAACAGCTAAAAATGTAAAAGTAAATTAATTACATTTTTAAGTTATTATAGTAAATCTGACCATTGTATCTTCAGTTTGAAAGGGTGGGATTGAACTTTTAACTCTATTCTGTAGAGAATTGGCTTCTCACCTGTCCCTTGCTTTCTATAATTCTCTGACCATGGTTGGTCTATTGGTAATCAAAAGAA